AAAATAAAAAATTCACTTATTCTGTACTTGTCAAAAGAAACGACATCGTTCTGACGGAGAAGTCAATCAAAGAAAATGCCAAACTCTTTCGGGAATGGCTTTTATTGAGAAAGAATGGAATGGAATTAAAGTTGGTGATATTGTTCGTGTTGAAGGTGGAGATTTTTTGCCTGCTGATTTGGTGCTATTGAGTAGCTCAGAACCAGAAGGTTTATGTTACATTGAAACAAGTAATTTGGATGGGTTAGTTTGTTTATCTACTATTAAAAAACAAACATTCTTATTCGTCAGATTGATAATATGTATACCTTACTGAAAGAAACTTTAAAATCTTTATTTTTAAGTGAAACAAATCTAAAAATTAAGCAGGCAACAACTGAAACTGCAATTCTTGTTACACCGCAACAAATAAGTCAATTAAATGGTCAGTGAAGTATATATACATATACATACACATATATATATTTCCTAAATTATTGCCAAAAACTAACGAGATTTTTTAATGATAAAAAAAAAAAAGGTTACATTAAATCTGAAAGTCCAAATAACAGTTTATATACATATGATGGTATATTAATCATGAACGGACCAAATGGAAGTAAACAAGTTCCTTTGGATCCTACACAGTTATTACTTAGAGTATGTAATTGATTAAATTATTAATTTGATAGTATTTTTTTAAACAATTAGTTATTAATTAAAATTTTATAGGGTGCACAATTAAAAAACACGCCTTGGATTTATGGTGTTGTTATTTTTACTGGCCATGAAACTAAATTGATGAGAAATGCTAGGTAGCAATTTCCCTTTTTTTAAAAAAAATTCTCTGTTATTTTATCTTATTATTATTTAAATACCAATATTTAGTTTTGACAAATTGAAATTTTTTTCATTATATTATTTAAAAGTGCTACCCCAATTAAAAGAACCAGTGTTGAAAAAATGGTTAACATTCAAATTATCTTTTTATTTGGAATTTTATTAACAATGAGTTTAGCATGTTCAATAGGAAGTGCTGCAAGGACAGTAAGTTAACTTATTTTTTTTTATCTCAAATCTTTTAATTTTATATATCTGCATCTATATTTATTTATATATGTATTATTTATTTATTTAATTATTTATTTATTTATTTATTTATTTATTATTTTAATTTTAATTTTTATATATATAACTTGCATCTTTTTGATTGGTACTATGGAAGTTGTAAAATTTCAACAAGCGGCCTTAATTAATTCTGATTTAGATATGTACTATGAAAAGACAGACACACCTGCTTTATGTAGAACTAGTAGTTTGGTAGAAGAATTGGGCCAGGTATATACAATATGGCAAAAATATTATTTTATGTAAAAACATATATATGATTTATTAATTACGTGTGTTTTTATTTCTACTAAAAATTTTTGATTCGATGAAAAAATAGATTGATTATATTTTTTCTGATAAAACTGGTA